CCTTCTGTGACTGAGCTAATAGCTAGCAGACATAGGAGACTCCCATATTTGGGGAAACATAATAGCAGTAACTTTATAATAGCGTAAGCTCTGAAGTTAGCTAGCAGGTCCACTGGCTGCTGATTGTGGCCCTCAGGGTTTCTGTGAGGGGGCCTCTTTGATGTGGATGGACCAAGATCGGCCCCGAAAGAGGATGAGAGAAGCAAGAAGCAAATGCTTTCCTCAAAGCACCATGGGGGCCAGGATTACGTGTCCTATAGGAGGGTCTTGCAGAGGGGGGGTGGGGGTGTTCCAGCAACTAGAAAGGAGTATAATTTTTGCTGTATATGACTAGGAAATGCATTGATTTAAAATGTCCTACTTCTGTTTCTGAAATAAAGAATATAATGATCTGATAAAGCAGCGACTGCTCAGAGGATAGACTCTGATTTAAGACATAATGAAGATCCTTTCAGAGATTTTATTAGAAAGTTTAACTAGAATCTGTCTAATGACACGAAGGATAAAGAAACTCTTTCAAACTTATTAACAAACAAATATTTTTTAAATTAGGTGAACTTAAAGCTTCCAACTGACTTTCCTCTTTTCTTTTAAAAATGTAGGATGAATTATTAAATATACGACTTTCAGCTAATATCCAGATATGATTTAGCATTTCTGCTATTTTATGGGGTCTGGCTGCCAGGATCTCAAACAAGCTTGGTTCCATTACAGGATCAGGTGAGGACAGGAAATAGTCAGGGTCAATGTGAGCAATCTATTTAATGTATATCCTCTGCCTGACCCTCACAGAACAAGGCCACAGAATTCAGCTGAGCTAAGCCTTTTCATTCCTCTGTTGTTGCTCTACAGCATCAGGAGAAAAACGACTGACTCCGAATATAGAAAGTATCTGATTACAGAGCTTAGTGTTCAGAAAAAAGAATCCAATTATATTTATAATTATTCTATTTTCGAATTACAACTCTTATCAATGTAAGATTTAAGCTTTTTTTGGTGAGTGTAAAAGAGGTGACCAATATTGGTAGATGATGGAACTTCTGTGGTTTCCTGATGATTGGTGCCATCAGCGTCGCCAGACCCCATTTATACTGGGGCACGTGCCCCAGTATAAATGAGCTGTGCCCCAGTATAAATGAGCTGTGCACCAGTATAAATGAGCTGTGCACCAGTATAAATCTCATGAATATTTGCAACAGTAATACATTTTTTTAATGCATCAATTTAGATAATTCCAACGGAAGGAGACGTATATTTCTACTCAAATGCAACTGGTAATTTTGGTAGGAATGTATCAGGGTGGGGCAGTGTGCTTGTCTGTATTT